AAACTCAAAATGGATGAAGGGCCTGAAAGTGAGACAGGAAACCATCAAAACCCTAGAGGAGAAAGCAAGAAAAAACATCTTTGACCTCAACCTCACCAATTTCTTACTCAACACATCTCCAAAAGCAAGGGAATTAAAAGCAAAAATGAACTATTGGGACCTTATCAAGATAAAAAGTTTCTGCACTGCAAAGGAAACAATCAACAAAACTAAAAGGCAACTGATGGAATGGGAAAAGATATTTGCAAATGACATATCGAATAAAGGGCTAGTATCCAAAATCTGTAAAGAACTCACTGAACTCCACACCCCAAAAAATAAATAATCCAGTGAGGAAATGAGTGGAAGATATGAATAGACACTTAAAATTTATTTTTAATGTTTATTTACTTCTTAGAGAGAGAGAGAGACAGAGCATGAGCAGGGAAGGGGCAGAGACAGATGGAGACACAGAATTCAAAGCAGGCTCTAGGCTCAAAGCTGTTAGCACAAGCCTGATGCGGGGCTTGAACTCACTAGCCATGAGATCATGACCTGGGCTGAAGTCTGATGCTTAACAGACTGAGCCACCCAGGTGCCCCAACTAGACACTTTTCTAAACACATCCAGATGGCCAAAAGACACATGAAAAGATGCTCAAAGTCAGTCCTCATCAGGGAAATACAAATCAAAACCTCACTGAGATACCACATCACTCCAGTCGGAGTGGCTAAAATGAACAAATCAGGAGAATATAGATGCTGGAGAGGATGTGAAGAAACAGGAACCCTCTTGCACTGTTGGTGGGAATGCAAACTGGTGCAGCCACTCTGGAAAAGAGTGTGGAGGTTCCTCAAAAAATTAAAAATAGATCTACCCTATGACCCAGCAATAGCACTGCTAGGAATTTACCCAAGGGATACAGGAGTGCTGATGCATAGGGGCGCTTGAACCCCAATGTTTATAGCAGCACTTTCAACAATAGCCAAAGTATGAAAAGAGCCTAAATGTCCATCAACTGATGAAGGGATAAAGAAATTGTGGTTTATATACACAACGGAATACTACTTGGCAATGAGAAAGAATGAAATATGGCCTTTTGCAGCATTATGGATGGAACTAGAAAGTATTATGCTAAGTGAAATGTCATACAGAGAAAGACAGATACCATATGTTTTCACTCTTAAAGTGGATCCTGAGAAACTTAACAGAAGACCGTGGAGGATGGGAAGGGGGAAAAAAAGAGAGGGAGGGAGGCAAACCATGAGACTCTTAAAAACTGAGAATAAATTGAGGGTTGATGGGGGTGGAAGGGAGGGTGGGTGATGGGTATTGAGGAGGGCACCTGTTGGAATGAGCACTGGGTGTTGTATGGAAACCAATTTGACAATAAATTTCATATTAAAGAAAAAAAGATTGTCCTTTCCTCATTGCATGGTCTTGCCACTTTCTCAATAATTTGATCATATATGTGAGAGTTTATACTCTATTTTCATCCATTCGTCCACATGTCTGTCAATACTATTTTTTATTTTTGTGGATTTGTAAATAGTTTTGAAATCAGGAAGTGTGAGTTCTCCAACTTTTCTCATCTTTTTTCAAGATTTTTTTGGCTATTTGGGATCCATTGAAATTCCACATGAATTTTAGGATATGTTTTCCTATTTCTCCAAAAATGTCACTTTGATTTTGATAGAAATTCCATTGAATCTGTAGACTTCTGTGGGTAGTATTTGCATCTTGTCAATCAATCCATGAACAAGGATGTCTAATCTTAACTTCTTTAAGCAATGTCTTATAGTTTTAATTAATCTTTGACCTCTTTGGTTGTTTATACATAAGTATTTTATTATTTTTTATGCTATTGTAAATAGAACTGTTTTCTTTTTGGATTTGTCATTGTTATGTATATAGAAATGTAGCTGATGTGTTGGGTGTTGATTTTGTATCCTGCTGAAATTTTGCTGAGATTTTTTTTTTGCTGAAATTTATTAGGTCTAACAATTTTGGGGGGCATCTTTAGGATTTGTATGTATAAGATGGTATTATCTTTGGACAGAGAAAATTTTTCTTTGTAATTTGGATGTCTCATTTCTTTTTCTTGCCTATTCTGTCTAGAACTTCCAGTACTTTATTGAAAAGAAGTGGCAAAATGGGCATCTTTGCCTCCTTCCTGATTTTAGAGGATTTCAGTCTCTTACTTTTTTTTTTTTTCAACGTTTATTTATTTTTGGGACAGAGAGAGACAGAGCATGAACAGGGGAGGGGCAGAGAGAGAGAGGGAGACACAGAATCAGAAACAGGCTCCAGGCTCTGAGCCATCAGCCCAGAGCCCGACGCGGGGCTCGAACTCCCAGACCGCGAGATCGTGACCTGGCTGAAGTCGGACGCTTAACCGACTGCGCCACCCAGGCGCCCCAGTCTCTTACTTTTGAGAATGATGTTAGCTACAGGTTTTCATATGTCTTTTATTATTTTAAGGTAGTTTCCTTCTGTACCTACATATTGTTTTTGTCACAAATTGGTGTGCATTTTGTCGAATGCTTTTTTGACATGATCACGTGGTTCTTTTCCTTTATTCTGTTACTGTGGTGTGCTGCATTGATTGCTTTTGTTTACCGAACTCCATGATGCATTTCATAGCTACGTCTGCTACTAACTCCATAGGAAACAAACCAATAACATATTTTTAGTATCCTTCCTTTATCCTATTGTTTGAGAATAAAAATGTATAGTTTTCCTTCTACATTCTGGATATCATATAACGGTTTCACCATGTATCATTACTCAAGACCAAAATCTGCGTTTCAACAATGTAATACACCTGCACCTTACTGGTTATAACAGAAATATATAAAAAATAAGTTCTTTGCATTATAGCTAAGCATTAAAGACTCACAATATACTGATAGGGTAGGCATGGTTCTACTTTGCTTATTTTATAATAAGGGAACTAAAGAGAGATGTTAGCTTTATTTTGATACATAGCTACTAAGTGATGGAGATTTGCAAGCATCACTCCCTTTAACACATTTCAACTTTTTCACCAGTATTTTACACACTTCTCTGTTTCAGTGCCCTGATATCTTTTGCTAACCTTTCTAATTAATACTAATTTGCATGTAAACTATCTCAGGCTTTCAACCTAAACATATAATCTGCAAAAAAAAAAAAAAAAAAAAAGCTGGTTTGTAGTTTACCTTTTAAACCTTATTCATTTTATATTTATTTAAAAATCATGTCACAAAATAATCATTACTCAAGTATTCCATATTTGTAAATTTGCCTACTTGCTAGGGTTTATAACCCCAAATCAATATTTATAGATCTCTCTTGATCATTTGAATTCATGCTCAAGGTAAAAAAAAAAAAATCAGTCACACCAAGGTTCACATTTTCATCTGAAGTTGAACAGATGACACTCTGCCTTATTATTTCAGCTCTCATACAGAGACGAGCAGAGGATAAAAAAAGTAGGGAGCAGTGCACTGTACCGCAAAAAGCTCAGGCTGTGGTGCCAAATGGAGCGTGTTTGAATCTCAACTCTGGCACCTATCAAGCAGCCCCATGTGAGTCATTTTTCACTTCTGAACCTCCTTTCCTTCTTTGAAATCTAAAGAAAATAGAATCTCTCAGGATGGGTTGTTTTTAAAATTTATGATCATATATATGTAATATATACACATTTACCCTAGAAGCAATGATTCAGTGGTAGCTAATTCAGTGCAGTGGGACTTTATGAAACAGCTACCACAATAATCAAATGTATTTGTATGATCCACTTGTATAAGAATATTTAAATTACACATTATTTTATAGCTAAAAGGTCCAGTAAAATGTACAGCCCTTTTGTGAGCCACAATTATGTTTACATACCACTTGGGAAATACTTACTAAAAATTAAATATCAAAACACTTGCTCTCATTCAATTATTGGAGCTCTTTAACAAAGTAAATATGAATACAAATAATTTTGTAAATGATTATGTATGAATTGATCTGGACTACTGATCTCATGTAGCCCAAAAAATAAAATACCCAGAAAATACAAAGAATTATTTCTTATTTGCATACATTTAAGAAACTTTGCCATCATCAGTGTTTGCCCCAGTCTTCCATGGCACTATAATTTGTAGAAGTGATATTTCAGGATCTGCAGTAAGGAAAACACCTGTAAGCATTCCCCAGTCTCTGCCAACTTCACTGGTCCTTCACTGGTCCTGCCACTTCACATCACTCTTTGAACTTCCACGAACTCATACATACATACATACACACACACACACACACACACACACACACACACACGCAGGCACGCTCCCACCACGGAATCAGACTTTGTGCATTCCAGAAGAGGCTACCTAGAAATGGGACGCGACCCTACCACCTTCCAGAGACACTTTGGGATTTACTGACCTCCGCCCCAATAGGTGAAGAAGAGCTGCTCTGGGGACCCCACCTCCCAGAAGCTGCTGGCCCCCTCCTCCAAGTGCAGGGTCTGGCACGTGAGGACAACTGTCCCAGTCCTGTTCTGAGCCCTCCCAGCAGCAGGCCCCGCAGGATCCTGACTCTAGGCGGGCTCTGACAGGACGCAGGGCTCCCCCCAGATGGGCACAGGGTTCTGGAGCAAGCTTCTGGAGCCCGCCACACCCACAGGCTCTGCGACAGGTGACCCTCTACGGAGCAGGTCCTACACTCACGATGGCCGGCGGAGGTCAGCCGGCCCAGGCCTGAGAGGATCAGCAGGACAGGCAGCATTGCGCGTCCTGCCGGGCTTGCCACGGTGATGGCGGTTGGCTGCGGAATGGCGGCCGCTCGCGCGCGGGGTTCTGAACTCCCTGCTGGCAGGGCGGGGTTGGGGGCGTGGTGGGGGGGGGCAGTGGGCTTGGGGGGCAGCGCGGGCGACGGGGAGATCCGGGAGGGGCACGTCGTTTATTCCCGCCCCGCCCCTTCTGCTGACCCGCACGCGCAGCCGCAGCCCCGGGAGCCTGCCCACTGGGCGCTGGAGGCAAGAGGCAAGCTGGCCTGGTGCCCACCTGGGCTTGGGTTTTATTTCCAGAACGAGAACCTCTGAAACGCATTTAGGGATTACGTAAGGGTCATAAAGTGAAGTTTTCTCCTCTGGAAATGGACCATCTGCTGGTGAAGTGCTTGGCTGTTACCAGTAGTCCACGTCATAGTTTTCTGGCACAACGACTGAATTACTGTAGTGAAGAAAAACAAAATGGAAATTCACAATATGGTTAGTAGCAGACAGTTGTCTGTTTTAACTGTGCCTACTGCGGAGTTCTATTTTAAGTCTCAGGTCAAAACACACACGTGCAAAGGAACACAAACACAAAATAATGAAAAATCAATTCTTTTATAGATAAGTTTGTTTCTTAGAAAACTAAGAAGTCCAAATAAAACACTAAACAAATGTAAATATGTGTTTATTATTTTAGTATTGATGTACAACTTAAGCATGAGGCAAAAGAATTGCAGCTATGAAATGACCAAAAAAACGAAATACATTTATTCAGTTTTGCACACCTTTGTTCCTTAGAAAAACCTATGTTTAGGAGACTAAGTGAATGTCTAAATGCAATTGTTTTTCCCCCAATCAATATGGAGTTCACACGTTGAAAGGCAATAGAGTTAATCTGGAAAGAACTTCCATCTCACGTTTTAATATACAGGTTGGTGACTTGCCTAATTTCAGTTTCTTTTTCAAAATTTATTTTCCATTGTAGCAAAATACAGCTAACATAAAAATTTACCATCTTAACCATATTTAAAGTGTATATATAGTTTATTGCTGCAAAGCATATTCACATTGTTGTGCAAATGTTACCACCAGCAATCACCAGAACTCTGTATCTTGCAAAACGGGAACTCTATATCCATTAAACAAGTCCCTATTTCCCCCTCCCCTAAACCCTGACAATGACAATTCTCATTTCTGTCTCTAGGAGTTTGACCTCTCCAGCTACCTCACATAAGTGGCCTCATACAGTATTTTTCTTTCGTGACTGGCTTATTTTATTCAGCATAATGGCTTCATTATGTTCCTGTTGTAGCATATTACAGAAGTTCTTTCCTTTAAAATTTTTTTTTTTTCAACGTTTATTTATTTTTGGGACAGAGAGAGACAGAGCATGAACGGGGGAGGGGCAGAGAGAGAGGGAGACACAGAATCAGAAACAGGCTCCAGGTTCCGAGCCATCAGCCCAGAGCCCAACACGGGGCTCGAACTCACGGACACTAGATCGTGACCTGGCTGAAGTCGGACGCTTAACCGACTGCGCCACCCAGGAGCCCCAGTTCTTTCCTTTTAAAAGCTGAATAATATTCCATTGTATGTACATACCACATTTTGTGTATCTGTTTATCTGTCATGGACACTTGGGTTGCTTCCACCTTTTTGCTACTGTGAATAATGCTGCAATGAAATTGGCATACAGATATCTCTTCTGGATCCCACTCTCAATTATTTGGATATCTACTCAGCATATCAACAGAGTAAAAAGCAACCCCCCCCGAAATGGGAGAAAATATTTGGAAATCATATATCTGATAGGGGATTAATATCTAGACTATACAGAGAACTCCTGAGATTCAACAACAAAAACAAACACCTGATTAAGAAATGGCCAAAGGACTTGAATAGACATTTCTTCAGGTAAGATACAGAATTGGCCTATAAGCACATGAAAAGATGCTCAAATCACTAATCATCAGGGAAATGCAAATAAAACCCACAAAGAACTACACTCACATCCCTCAGAATGGCTACTATCAAAAATGAGGAAATAAGTGTTACGGAGGATATGAAGAAATCAGACCACTTGTACATTATTGGTGAGGATGTAAAATGGCACAGCCTCTGTAAAAGTTCTTAAAAATAAAGTAGAATTACCTAATTTCATTTTCATAAGAGTTTTTACAAGACATTCTTAAATTTTCCTTACATGAAACTTGTGTTTTTATACCTTAAAATCAATACCTGTAGACAAATTCAAACACTGAATGCTTTTCCTGTTTGTAAACATAAACACAAACATAGATAAAAATGGTTTTTTAAAAAGTTTAATTCCCATACTTCTTTCTAAATATTTGTTTCAGTAGCAATTAATATAATATGTAATTCTAAAATAGACATGTCTATTTATTTTACTAAAATATTTGCTTCTTAACCATGTGGTTTTGGGGGGATTGATATAAGTATATAAAATACTCGAAGGGGCGCCTGGGTGGCTCAGTCGTTTAAGCACCCAACTCTTGATTTTGACTCAAGTTACGATCTCACGGTTAGTGAGTTTGAGGCCTGCGTCCAGCTCTGTGCTGAGTGTGGAGCTTGCCTGGAATTCTCTCTTTCTCTCTCTCTCTGCCCCTTGCCTGTTAGTGCTCTCTCTCAAAATAAATAAAACATTAAAAAATACTTGAATATTTATAAATAATAATGCTTATGTAATAATTTTATTAATTAACAATTATTGATATAATTATGTTATTATATTGATGATAATATAATAATTACTAATAATGTAATTACTAATTGTGAATATTTGGATATATAAATATAAATATTTGAATACATAGTATAAGCCAAGCAGTATGCCTGTGTTATCAAAATATAAAGAATATCATCCATGTATCCAAACAGGTCAAAGACTAACAGGAAACCAGATATGCATAAGAAATTCATTGTTAGCATAATATACAATGTTCTCCTGGAATGTTGCTAGTTTGTTTTCTCCACATATATTAAATGTAGCTACAGAAAGGATGTCACATGTGAGATTTGAACCATAATTGGATGAGTGAATGACTTGTATTGAGCCAGTAAATGTTCTCCTAAGAATAATATTAAATAATCCAAAAACTTTAAGTGTGGATGAATGATATTTTGTTTCAGAAAAGTAACTTATAATAGTCCTGGAGATGGTGAGATAGAAATGATGAGGACTGGAGACAGCATATCCAGTTATTAGTGTTTTCCATAGTTTAGGCCAGAAATGTCAACATCCTCACAGCTAAACCCTGAGGTGGAAAAATATAAATATGAGAGGTGTTTTGGAAACATAATTAAAAATAGTTGGGGCACCTGGGTGGCTCAGTCGGTTGAGCGTCCGACTTCAGCTCAGGTCATGATCTCATGGTCTGTGAGTTCAAGCCCAGCATCAGGCTCTGTGCTGACAGCTCAGAGCCTGGAGCCTGCCTCAGATTCTGTGTCTCCCTCTCTCTCTGCCCCTCCCCTGCTCATGCTCTGTCTCAAAAATAAATAAAAAATATTAAAAAAAATAAAAATTAAAATTAAAAATAGTATCTCTGTCAACCCACTAAAAATCCTCTTCACAAATGTAGAAAGGAACAAGACAATTTTATTGTTGAATAAGTGTTAGACCTGACTGTGTTGGGCTAAAGGGATTGTAAAGATAGAACGAAATCTCACCCTTTTATATAACCAGGCAGATGTAGTCCATGTCACACATGTTAACTGTCTTTATCCAAAATACAAATAAAACTTTCAATTTCTTTAGGATAACCAGGAAGTTGCAGCTTGGAACTAGACATCAAGGTTAAACTCCCAAGGAGCCAGGAAGATAGGAAGCTATCTTCCTTAATGTTTATGTTTGTAATAGATAGATGCCTACAAAGTCCTTAAGGAAAATATTCCTGGAGTGTAAAGTTGACAAATTTTATTTAGTTTTCAAAAAGAATTACATATGTCCCAAAGAGACAGAGAAAGGATTAACAATTCCACGTTTTCTAAAGGAAATAATCTAAGAAAAGGGTGTGTGTGTGTGGGGGGGTACTTCCTTTCATGTGTGGTGCCAGGGAAAATTGTTGTTTTGTTTCATAAATTTGTATTTACCTTTACAATATATAGGGAGCCAAATAGGTGCACTGACTAATTTGATATGAAGCTTGTTAAATTGTTAAAGTGACTAGGCAACTGAGATGATAGTGCCACCAATTTTAGGAGAGGCAGATTTGTACAGTAGTTGGGAGATAATCAGTTGGGTTGAAGATTTGTTGAATTTGAGGTCTTTGTGGATGAACAAGGGGATTTTCCATAGTTTAGGCCAGAAATGGCAAGTCCTTACAGCTAAACTAAGGATCTAGATGAGTCTGCATCCTTATAATTTGAGTTGAACATCTAAAAAGGCAATTTGAAGGAAAGAGAGTGAATCAGTCAATCTAAGAAACATATAGAGAAAAAGTGGATGTCCAAAAGGAATTTGTGGATCATACAGATAATTTCAGTGACTAAGGGAACAGAAAGAAAGAAAATGAAACTGATAAAGAATGAAAAGTACAGCAAGTTAGGAATTAGAAGAAGTTAACATTATGGTGATTTTGTTAAATAGTTTTCTTGAATTTGTTGAGCTGATCGTTTAAATATCCAGTCTACTATGGTAAATTATTGATTGAACCTTGTGTTCCCTGGATAAATCACATTTGGTCATGATATGTTATTCTTTTTTTTTTTTTTTAGTTTATTTATTTATTTTGAGAAAGAAAGTGTGAGCAGGGGAGGGGGAGAGAGAGGGAGAGAGAGAGAGAGAGAGGAAAAAGAGAGAGAGAGAGAGAGAGAGAGAGAGAGAGAGAGAGAAGGAATCCCAAGGAGCCAAGGAGGCTCCTCACTGCCAGCACAGAGCTCCACAGGGAGCTCAAACTCAGGAAGCATGAGATCATGACCTAAGCTGAAACCAAGAGTTGGATGCATAAGCAACTGCGCTACCCAGGTGCCCTGTTATTCTTTTTTATATAACATTGGATTCATTTTGAGGGATACAAATTGATGTGTATTTTTCTTGTGTTATTTATTTGTCGCTTGTATCAAGGTAATAGTATCTTCTTAGAAGGAGTCTGGAAGTGTGCTAAAATATGTGGGAGATTTTGTATAACATTGGTATTATTTGTTCTTTTAATGTTTGGCATAATTTACCAGTGGAGCTATCTGGGTTGGAAACTATAGATAGATTTTCAACTGCAAATTCAGTTTATTTATGGATAGAAGCCTGTTCAGGTTCTCCGTTTCTTACATTTGTTTGTCTTGCTTTGATATTTAGATTTTCTTTCAACTTAAAAAAATGTTTTTAATGTTTTATTATTTGTTTTTGAGAGGCGGGGAGGGGCAAAGAGAGAGGAAGACACAGAATCCAAAGAAACCACAGGATCCAAATTCCAGTTAGTTAACATATAGTGCAATGTCAGT